ATATCCCTCTCCGATGGAAAATCAATACAACCATGCGGTTGTTTAACGATTAACCGAGACCCGTGGTGGTGAGCACATTTCATGCTGCAAAACAACGTGTTTCATTTACGCCCAGAAAACTCGTATGTCCCCTCCTTGAAGACAATGTCCTTGCTTCTGCCGTCTGATTTTGTGCCCAACCATTTTTCTGTGTTCCTCTGGATCAATAGTGAGTGGGATTACAATAATCTATCCCCGCTACTTTGTTCTTGGCCAGTAAAACAGTGTATCCTAGCTACTGCCGAGGTGTTTGGAATTCGTTTGCTTAACCCAATCGTCCTTGCGGGATTTCTTTTAAACTCGTGAACCCCATAGTCATGAAGACCTGCTGCTCTTCGGTGGTGAAAGCTGGTAACCTAAACCCCGGGACCTGGCATGGTGAAGCACATAAGGTTCCACTAGATTAGGCGTGGTATTGAGCGAGACGACAGCAAAGCTGCCCACTACCTGTGGTGCAACTTCGATTCGCCTCAGGACGGCTTGTTCAACCTAAACCAATGAGGAGCGAAGATTTCTGGTTTCTCTCTCTCTCTCTGTTTTCTGCTATTCGTAGTTTGGACTCGATACTCGGTGGATTCAAAAGGTATAGAAGCTCGGAATTGTGTTCACTATTCCCAAAGTTCAACCGGATACAATCACGTCCTGATTTTCCTAAACGATCGGCCTTATTCCTCTCTGACAGTCTTCAGTGTCTTGTGACACTGCGCATGTTACAGTTACGGATATTTCGATTTCTTCGAACCATTCGCTTCATAATCTTGAAACAAGAATGATCCTTCCTCGTTTCAGGGAGCACACAGTAAGTCATGTGTGAATTGCTGTTTCATGGATGATGAGTGGTTGGTTACAAAGCGACCTTTCCACAAACATTCAATTATCCCACGTCGGAGCTTTCCATTTGTGTTGGAAAGTCGACCACTACCGACAGGTGCCGACTAAGAGGTCGATTTGTCTGCCGCTTCGGGTATTCAATCGGCGAGCATCCCGGCTTCCATCCATAATACCATTCCTTGTCAATTAACGTACTGCTCGGTTTCCTGAGAAATCAACAACTTCCGTATGTCTCGAATGAGAAGGATCTCGTTGTCACTGTCTAAGATGACCTAAATTGTTCTTTAAACTGCTCCATGGCGTCGTCCACCGCTGTAAGACATGCTTGTTTGCTAAAACGAGTATTTGGAAAATCTGAACCTACTCTGTTCCCACGATTGTTATCAGTCTACATTCGACCCCACATAGAGTATGCCATTCAAGTATGGAATACGTGGCGATCGGAAGATTTTGGAACGTCCACAAAGAATGGCCACCAAAATGGTCGAAGGACTGCATTCCAAGAGTTATGCGGAAAGACTGGAATCACTGGAACTGTACTCCACACAGTATCGCCGCATTCGAGGAGACTTGATTTTGGTATACCAGATAATGCAGAACCCAGACCACCCATATCATCCACTCTTCCTTGTCGCCCAACATTCACCTGCGGGGGCACTCATTCAAATCAGTGCTCCGAAAATGCCGACTAGAATGCCGGTGTCACTCATTCACCCTCAGAGTGTGCACTACTTGGAATTCTGTACCACTCCACGTTGTTTCTGCACCCACAGTTGATTCATTTAAGCACAAACTGGATGAAGCTCTGACAAGTCCTGAATTCCAACATCCATATCAGTGTACAAAGAGGATAAATTGTGACATTCGTCTACTTTCTATGAACCGCGAATCAATTCGACTGTGCTAAACCCTATGGGACTAGAACGGAAACCGTTTGTATTTCCCATAATGAAACCTAAAATTTAACTTTCTTCGCACTGATTTCGGACCGAAACGTGGCGAATGCTCCATTTTTCCCTTATGGGTGAGTGGTACTCAACTGAAAGGGTTAGTTTTAGTTCATGACAGTGATCGAGAGTGTCCACGATGCATGCAAACCCGGTTTTGTGATTGCCCCTCATTGAATTTTAGGGTGGGGAGCCTCCTTCTGGGGGCTTTGGGAGGGGGGGGGTATCTTTGTGCGTCTATTCTCTGTCGGGTTCCCGTTTTCCCAACGGTGTATGTACGACCAGCGGCAAGCAAATACATTCATGAATGCATTTTTTAAACTGCTTCTCACCACGGTTTCAGTACGCTACTACAACGACATTCAATCCTTGTTCGATTGCGTCCTCGTTTTTCATTTTTAGATGAAAGAAGGTCAAATCAGGCGTTTTTCTGTGTATCTGTTTTACTATCTCCCGTATTCACTATACGTCGATTATTCTTAATAAGGCGACCTCTGTCTTACCCAAAACACGGTTAGCTATATGTGCATAGAGGATGGGTTCCAGAGAACCATGTATACACGTTTGCCCTTTGATCTATGCTCCACATCACTTCATACATATTACCAGTGACGCAAAGGTTCACTGTATAGTTTGCTCTGAGATAAAGACCGCCATGCGATATGTATTTTGGTTAGATCAGACCGTGTTTCGTTAATGGACAGAATTTCCTTGGAAGCACACGACCGGCTTCGCGATTCTGGCCGCTCGTCAGGGTTTCGTATCCGGTAATCATTTGTCAGTTCATTCATGCACTTATACTCAGGAAATGTATTTTTGTACCGGGTGGCTTCCGGATAGACAGCTCTTTTTTATGATTGCGAAAATACATTACCTGGGTACAAGTATATGAATGAACTGACAAAAGATTACCAGATACGCATGCCTGACGAGCGGGCAAGAACTGCGAAGCCAGTCATGTGCTTCCAGGAAGATTTGGTCCAATGATTCACATACTACTTATTATGAAATATTCTATCAAGACGATCAAATCGCGTTGGTTACGGTTGGTAGCATCTCATCTACCAACGAAACATTTTATCATGGCATTGATTCTTCAGTGGGCTGGCTGCGAAAGAGCCGTCTATCCAAGAGTCACCCGGTGTTACAAACAAGGTTATTGTTACAAATATATATATATATATATATATATATATATGAAAAGAAAAGACATATATATATATATATATATATACCCTATCGATGATTCTGTTCCATCATGTAATAACGTATACCATGCTCCGTTTTGTTACCATTTGCAACATTGCTGTGACACATGAGTTCAACTGGGGTGATTACATCGAATTTCCAAAAAGAGTTAGATAAGTGTATGCTTACCTGCACGAATGCCATTGTTTATGACATTCAGCCATACCACTCAGTGTCTCCACCCACCGGTTCAGATCATCCCGAAGTCCCCTTCCATGGAGCCCAACGGGACCTCTGACCGAGTCTCCTGGTTAGGGCTCTCATACCTTCACATCAGGTCTTAGTTTTACCACCCTTGACACTTCCTCCACCTTCCGCGGCAAACATCGCAGTCAATTTCATAACATGCGTATCACATGCCTCAACCAACATAGAGGTCGACCACTTGCTCCAGTGGATGACCGTGGTTACCCAAAACTCTACTCCTCACCTCAGCATTACTCGTCCGGTTACCGCACCAGATTCATGCAATGCGTTCAAACACCAGCAGTTTATCTTTATACTGTGTGAAAGATAACTTATAGGCCCTTCTATTGCTGGAAGTGTTAAAAGTGGCGAGACGTGTGTGTGTGTGTGTTGTCCACATATTTCACGGAAAGTGATTTTACCCGTCCAAGGAAGAACACTGTCAGTGCATGTTTTTGAATCCCGCGTGTGCCATATTTCGTTTGCGAGAGACGTCGACGTCTGAGGTGGTGGTAGTTCTGTGGGATTCACCGGATATAGTCACTATAACTTTCAAACCAAGGCAATTGAACTTGCGATCCCCCATTTCTCCCGTTGAGGGATTCCTAACGGCATTCCTAACTCTTTCTAGAAGGTTATGGTTCCTCAAGCTTACAAAACTGGTGTTTATATAAGGACAATTACCCCACATGACTGTGGAAATAGACCACCCGGATACCAGTTGGCAGTAAAGTCTGTTTAGAATCTTTTACTCACGAATTAACTGCTCAGACATTCCAACCCCAAATGTGTGCATTCGTGTGGGATGGGATGACGGTAGAACTCTACGAATTTGTCGTTAGGTTTTTCTGCCGCCTGTTCCCGTTCCTTGGTGTCGACGCGAACATGTGGATGAAAATTGCAGAGTTACTACTTGTTAACAAAGTATTGAAACTTGGCGCTCCTAAATTTCGGTGGCTTCTTTTTTCTCCTGTTCGCGGAGCTTGGTAGTGTGTTTCACGCGTTTCAGTTCTGATATGATGCAGCTTCGGTCCTCCCCGCGCATTTGAATTCTTTTTCAGCGATTTCATCATTCACAGTTTAATTCGCCGTTGTAGCAGCACGAAGAAAAGGGGATGCTCTTCCGTCTTGATTGTAATCGATCGTTCCATTGTCGGATCACTACATGACCTCTCTTTTCTTGCGCCATTTGATCGTTGAATCAAATCGATATGTACACGTAGTCCACTTATATATGCCTGTTCACTAAGTTGATCAAAAAATAATATTTCCTTTGGAAATTCCGTAGCATCTTTCGATCGATGATTCCAAGTGACTTAAGGTCAGATGAATCTTCTTGATCTTCATGAAATTATAAAAGTGAAATTTTATCATGCCTTTTGACTCTCTTGTTGGCACTAATGCTCCATTTTGTCGGACACGGTGTTCCGGACAGTCCTTGTTTTTTATTCTATTTTGTAGGTACAGCTGTCTTTCTCGTTTAGTTTTCAGCTAACGTGTCTGATTCAGCTTAGTTTTGTGCACGTGATTGCATATGGTCTGCTCACTCTTCACCATATACTGTGACTGATTCATGGCAGTTCATGAATATGACTCGCAATTTGCTGTCCAGCTGCTAAGGCTGGTGACTCCGGTAAATCTCCATTTGTACACTATGACAAGACACATAATTCTATCGGTGCTGAGTCAGTTTCTAGTTCACAGCCCCGTATTTTTCTTTATTACCCTCCTTGTACCGCCCGCGGACAGGAGTTCCGGTGTCTATGTGATTATTGACTGTACACCGGGGACGCACGAGTATAAATATTTCATCGACGGAGCTTGGTATCATGATCCAACAAAGGTGGGTAAGATGTATTGCTCTATTCCCGTTCATCTGTGATTATAAATCTGCTCACTTTTAATGTTTTGAAGTGATTTGCTATTCATTTGAAGCATCAGTAGTAGTGTCAGCTTTGAATGGATGCGCTCACCTGCACTCAAATTCGTTTTTGCTGAGTTGTTCATCGGCAGATCAATAGCGCGCGCACAATGTTGTTCCATTTTCTCCGGTCCATGGCGTTCAAATCACAAGGTCCTGAACTGGACTGTTTTACTGTATTCACTAACACAAGAAAGTTTTCAGCTTTAGTTTCTACAACCATTAACCATGCACTTTCGTGCACCGCTTTTGGTTGCAATCTTTTGGCAGCCCATTTAGATAAAAGAGCAGCATGAAGATTGGAATGTTGGAGCAAATTCAAACGGAAGATGGAGAATTCATTTAGTGTTAGGAGAATGAGTGCATGCACGAGCACATCTGTTTGCGACACCCAGCCATATCACTCAGTGTCTCAAACCATCGGTGACCATCATCCCGAGGTCCCCATCCAGGGAGTCTAACTGGGCCTGTGTGACCTAGTCTCCTGATTAGGGTCTTCATACCCTCATGCCAGGTCTTCGTTTGACCACCCTTGACCCTTTTCCAACCGCTACCTACCTTGGCAATCATCGTTCGCCGTGGCAACCTATCTGGTGATATGCGTAACACATGCCCCAGCCAACGTAATCTATGAAGGTCGATCATTTGCTCCAGTGGACGACCACAACTGCCTACAACTGTACGCCTAACCTCAGTATTGCTCGTCCGGTTACCCCACCAGACACGTGCAATGCGACGTAGACAGCGGTGTTCGAACACTGACAATCTATTTTTATCTTGTTCCCTTAGTGGCCAAATCTCTGGCCGAACTACTTCAGCATACACTCGACCTTTCACAGACAGCCGGATGTTGCGACGATGCTTCAAATGTCCCATGTTGGTAAATGCCAACCGAGCCTTTTGTATGCGCGCTGGCATTTCATCTATGATGCTGCCGCCAGGTGAGATATAGCTGCCTAGATAGCAAAACCTGTCTATTTCCTCTACTACTTTCCCGGTCAGAGTGAGACTGGGTGCTGGACCGACCCAATCTTGAAGCAACGTTTTACACTTTGAAGGTGCAAAACGCATACCAAGCATGGCTATATTACCATAGTGCGATTGCAATATTTAAATAAACTTTTCGGGCACACCCTTTATAGCGAGGCGGCACCAAAGTTTAAAGCAATCGACAGAGGCGAAAGCCGCTTTCAGATCCAGGAAGAGGGAGATGGTGGGTCTACAAAAGGAGTGTCTGTGTTCTAGAATTTGACCAAGAGTGAAAATGTGGTCAATACAACCTCGACCAGGTTCTCACGCGTACACCGTTCACGTGCGGCAAACAGTCGGCGGAGTATAACACCAGCGAGGAGTTTGGAGACGATGTTGATTAAACTAATTCCTCTGTGGTTTTCACAAGAGGATCTGTCAAAACTAGAAAACATCTGAAGAAGTCTGTGTTGGGAGTAACCCTGTCGACTGGTTTTGGTTTAGCACTTAAGGTTATGCGTTTCCCACTGGTGCCAGTTTCCTGATCTATCCCCGTCCGCTTATCTTGAGTACATGGATTGGGGGCATGACAAAGCAAGACGCCTGTCGCGGAGTCTAGGAGCGCCGACCGACCGAAAAATGAGATCCTGTAGACCCTGTGAATGAATTCGGCAGATGAATGTTTGATCAAGTTATATGTCGGATGGTGAGTGTAAGAGCGAGAAGGCAAATCGATAGAAAGTAAGCAGAGGTGGTCTTCTGGCTATGAGTTGATGTGGCATACATTCGGATTTGTCAATGAATAAAAGACTCGGCATCTTGAAAAAGATGGATCGATCTAAAACTGTGTCAGGCATGGGACAAAAATTAATCTTGATCACGGTACTCCTATTTTGTTCACGGACGCGGACTGCAACACGAATTCCAGTTGTTTCGAGTGCGACTCGGGTTTCAAGCGGTCCCGAAGCTAAACCGACGTTTCGGGCTTAACTCGATTTAAGCAGCGTCCTTCACACAAGTTATTAGAAAGTGCATCATCATCTTTAGCTTCAACCGTAGATCGACTCGCTAGCAGTATATTCTTGACCTCGATTTCACCGATTTGTGATATTATCTCTGATTGCAAGCGTACGGAACTCAACCTCAATTGTGAACTATTTTTTTAATGATTATTATTACACAAACTTGTGTGATGAACGTCAGATAGGGTATGGGCTCATAGTCACGAAAACCATTGATGAGAACCGGTAACCTTAGCCCAGGTACGTGGAGTGCAGGACCACATAAGGCCCCGCTGTGTGGGGTGTGGTATCTAACCGGGTGCCAGCAGAGCTATTTACAAAGTTAGGTGGTGGCGGCGGGTTCGAACCAAGGCACGTCGCCACCACCACACAGAATCATCATCTAGCAATTCTCGACTGAGACCCCAGACGCACAGCGGAAATGAACACAGTTGTTCAGATTTTATGTTTTGCAAGTCACATTCGTTCATGTGTATAACATTTCCTAGTGGCATTCAGCGATATATTGCTTTTGCTTTTTGGTCGACTATTCTAGTAATACACCGTTCTGCTCGTTATCGCCAAACCCTTAGTTGACTGAATACATTCTTCGCTGTCCACTTTCAGTTGACAATGTGTTTTGTTCACATGTGGTTACCATTCTGAACCAGTTTCAAGGTCACTGAGATCACGAGTAGACTTCGAGATTGTCATCAGTGTTACATTTAATCACACTGTATAAAGATACCCTTTTCCTTCAATCACTACAAAGTTTCACGAATCTCGTTTCGAGCGTATTACTACAAACACCGGAAAGCTGTTTGAATCTTGTTCGTACTCATCAGCACTGTATACTTTCTTTTTTTTGCATGCCACTGCTCGAGCCGAGAGTCTGAGCTCCTCAGTCCCGAGCTATGAGGTTGAACACTAAGACTTGAGTGCACTGTCATCCGGATTAGTGATGTTTGTTCTTCGTTCTTAATCCCATGTGAACTCATGGGCAAAGATCTACTTATTGTAGTATATATATTTCACACAATTCTGAATCTGGACTGTGCCAAACAAATCCTGGTACAATAATCTTTATCAAAAAGACAAAATACGTTCCATGATTTGCATTTGGGCGGAGTACTGCCAGGTTGCCCAGGGCAAGGCAAGTGAATTTTCTTGGGGAATCCACAATCGGAACCTTTGGCTGGTCAAAGCCTGACCCTCAAGGCAGCCGCAATCCATTGGGGGGGGGGGGGGGGCGGTATCCAGTTCATCGGATCATACGCCCTTTGGACTGAGTCAAACTTCCAAGGTGCCCAATCGATCCGGTGGTCAATGCCACAACCAGGAAGTTGTGAGCATGGTTCGTCGCCTCCTCTTGGTTGGTTTGGAATCAGGGCCAACTCCCCTAAGTGGTCCACCAACCCGATTGTCGCTTTTCGTCCTCTCACCTCGATGCAAAAACACCACGAGAAGACAGTGAGTCTCAGCAGAGGCTATTTAAAACGTTTGGTCGTATGGGAGCATTTCGTGAGGTGCAAGGGAAGGGTGACCAGCCACAACCCTAGACACTCACCATACTGAGGATTTCGGAGGAAATTATTCTAGTCCTGCTTGGTGGTCTGAGAATTCACATGGGACGAATCAACAGGAACATACATATATAATATAAGTAACTATGCGCTCAACTGTTACCTGTACCCTCTTTGTAATCAACTTGTTTGTTTTGATAATTCTGCAACCTTGACAGCTATCTTTTCATTGGAAATAATACAGTGATCATGATCTTGTCAAAAGTATATCAGGACTTTGGGCACGCGTATGCACTCACTGCCTTTAACGCATAAGAGCTCTCCTCACAATCGAAAAATAAGAACACAATCTTGCCAGATTGAACAAACGACCACTCTGATTGGTACCCGACAGCTAGGTAATGCCCCAGACTGATTTTGCCGAGCCTCGTTGTTTGTGGCATGCTATTGTCATGTGTACACGAATGCAAAGGTCACATTTGTTGATTGCACTCGTTGGGTACCGCGAGTCGCGGGTCAGACACGTTTGGTTTGGTTGTGTTCCTTGTTGAGGAAGATTCGTATGGTGTGCGCGACACATGCGACTCCGTGGCCTCCGTGTGTCTTAAAACGCGCATTTTAAATATGATAATACTTGGAGATTATCACAAATGCGGTTTAATTCAATAATGGCTAGCAGCGGCACATGGTCACAGCCTGCTCTGGGTGTTACTCGTCTTTGTGCAGTAGCATCAAATCACGTTTCGGTGTTCGGCTTCCGTAAGGGTATGGACATCCCAACCTGTTCGGAACATACAGTGCAACACATTTGACCAATTGAGATGCATTGCGGAGCTTTTGCAGTTACTTTAGTTGACTAATCAAATTCGCTGGGTTCCGAATCGCGTTGTGTTAGCGTGTAACAGAAGTAATGTGACTGTTAGAGATTATTGCATTTACAGAGTTTGCTAATGGGCAAATTCATGCTGGTACTACACACTCGCATCTGTGTAAACGTTCTCTCCTGCGGATTTACGTTAAAATAAGAATTCTGTCTATGCCTGCACCATATGAACTCCACCTGTTTCACACCTACATCACGGTGTCCCAGTTCTGACTTTAGGCTACCACTGTCTTTTTCTCCTACTCTTTCAAGCTTTGCGCACCCGGTGGGATGAATTTTCAACCCTTTCGAAGCGAAGAAAGCGTGTTAATACACTACACGTTTAATGAATGACAGACAATAGGATGCGATCAGTGATTTCCCAATTCAGTAATGATAGTTGTTCGATTTATGAAGATACGGGAAGGATGAGGGACGATACTTTTTCAGTACGTCCACACAGAAGCCGCTGAGTATTTGTTATTTGTTCCCCCGCAAACCATTAACTTTTGGATATTTCTACCCATCACGAAGAGACTGCGCTCTGGCGTTGTGTGAGGGCTTGCGCGCCTCACTGACCCTGCGAGCTAGACAGGATGGCTCCTCACAACCGCAGATCCAATCATGCCTGAAAGGTCAGTGCGTAAAAGCCAGACGATCAGTCTCACCAGATCATCTACTTGGACACCTGCTGGCTTCCTTTGTTTATGCACTGTCACCCCTGGAGAGGTCATGGAGAGGGTCTATTTAACGGTCAAGTAATCTCCGCTGGACGGACGTACGAGTGGGGTATGTTGGGCTTCCAACTGACGGTAGGAGACGTCTTCGCACTTCACTGGACAGCTACCGCCCGCCCAAGCTGGGCAGCTTCAGCCAACAAAGTTCTGTCCCGTCCACGTTCCACTTCTATCATTTGATGCATAAGGCTAAAGGCCGATCCCGAAAAGCGGACCGATAATCAACGCACCAGTGAACAATACGCTGAAGCGAAACCCGAAGGCCTTGGGTGACAGGTCTCCAGAAGCTCTCACACGGGTGCTTCGTTCACGCTCCCACGTTGGCCCTACACCGCAATGCCTTGCGAGTTAGACTCCTGAGCCGAAGGCTCCGGTTAGGGTTTCCAAAGAAAAACCCGTTCGTCGGTGTGGGCTACCGTGAAGTCTTAGGTACACTATCAGATCGGTCAACAAGCTGCCTTAGCGAGAACCTTTGAAAACTTTAATTTATTTGTAGGTGATCTCCGAAACCCGCATACAATACCCTACTTCAGTCATCTCCCTGCATTCTCTAGATCCATCCTCGTCCCCACGCTTCACTCTTCGTGCGTCGGTTGATTCGGCATCCGAAACTCGCAGTGTTGCTGGTGTTGGGATTGCGCTAGCAATCAAGGCTGAGAGTGCACTACTTGACTAGATCCCGGTTAGTGGCTGACTGCACTGAATATCTGAATGCTTCAGTACGGGTCAACAGCTACAGAACAAAGCGTCGATGCCTGCTCGTCGTATCCGTGTGTGCGTCGATTGATTGCAATTCGCCCGAAAGGAAGGAACAATTCTACAAGGACCTCTCTGAACCGCTTTAAAGTGCTCAGTCAGGGGACATCGTGGTGGTTGCTGGGGCCTTCAATGGTCAACCGAGATCCTTGGACGAACACGAAAGGTTTTTTCTAGGTACTCATGCCATCCCAGCCAACCATGTTAGACAAAGGAGAACGCGTAATTCAACTTTGCACTGATCATGAACTGTTCCTTTCAAGCATCAACTTCTCGTACAAGAAACGAACCACCTTACATGGAAACCGCCAAACTCAACACAGCGATGGATTCAAATCGATCACGTTTCTATCAGCTACCGTTGGCGAGGATCCATTGAAGTCTACCGCTCTTTCTCGTCAACACACGTGGACACGGACTATGGTCTTCTACTAGCCAGATTCTCTCTATATATGGCAAACAACCAAGGATGAAGCCACCGGAAACGGATGCATTATATCAACGATCGTTTCATATCAGCCTTCGATGCGGAACTATCTGCTCGCCTTTCAGCTCAACCATCAGCCGAGGGACTCAGGGAACACTGGATGGCAATCAAGAAATTATCAAAATTTCAGTGAAGTCAACGACGGATTTCGTCGCACGATCAAAGCAAAAGCGATGGTTCTTCCCTGCTGGAGGCTCGGAAAGCCATTCCTTCTGATGCTAAATACGAACTAGCGTGCGAAGCCCTTAAACACCAGCTCATCAAAAAGTCTGACGAATAACCACGAGAAGTGGTGGGTAGGAAAGTGTAGAGAGATGGAGAAGGCTGCGGCCATTGGTATTAGTCGCAATGTTTTTCCTTTTATCCGAAATACGAGCCCAAGAAAAGTAAACGTATGTAAACAGTACAAGTTAGCTTTCCAGTATGTTTCCATTTGATTCTAACATTGAAGGCAGTCATTCTACCCTATATCAACTCCTTCCCTCGTGTGTTTCTTCGTTTCAGCCCACGGTGGACAATATTATGGGTACGAAGAACAATGTTGTTCATGTCAAACCGTCTGATTTTGATGTGATCCAAGCATTGGAATTGGATCAGGCAAATAGTAAACACCGTCCAAATCAACTGGATTCCGTGGATGTACGTGAGCCTGGCACTCTTTATCATGCTTGTGATTCGCTTTTGCTCACATCCTCGTACTGTACACACACACATATACACAGAAAGAGAATGTTCCGAAGGCAGTGATTTGTTCTGTCTCGGAAAGAACTGTTTTTCTCTTATTCGTCTGAAGGGTTTCTTTTAATTACGTACCCTAGTATGATGAACATTAGTCGGATTAACCCCATGGTCATGAGGACCTGCTGTTCACTGGTGGAAACCGCTCATGTAAGCCTCGCGGGACTTGGAGTGGCGAACGAAATAAGACCCCGCTAGATTAGGCATGGCACCGAACCAGACGGCAGCAAATTTGCCCACTACCAAAGTTCAGTGGCAGTGGCGGGGTTCGGACCCCGGACCACTGCCTCCAAATCACGCCGGTGACAACGACTCAATCACTGTGCCACCACCAGTATAGGGCAGCAAAGCGAGGAGTGATTTCGTTTGAGTTAGTCTCTTTTTGACCTGCGTACATGTGCATCCCTTTGGAAACCCTCACTTGATCTTAGCTGTAGAGTTATTCAACATTTTGCAGGCTGTCGGACGGACGTCTGATTCCTAGATTGCTAAACATAACAAAAATGGCATATATACATTTGGTCACTGTGATGAAAGCTCGAATCCGGCCGCAGCCCGCTCGCATCGGTTGTCACGTGACTGGTCGATCTCGCTATCGACCCTACCCCAGCCAGCATCGACAGGCTTAATGAGGATTGATCCGTATTTCACCCATTGTCCCTGTAAACCGCGTTCACACGATTACAGTCAGCCCGTTCCAGTTCAGTGACTCGTGTTCTTCCTGATCAGGAGTGTACAGTCGTAACAATCATTAACTGGGAAGAGATGTGGTATCAAAATTAACAATAAATGTTAGAGGATTTCAGTTTGAATAATCACCTTAAAACCGGGAACCATGGCTGACAAAGGACTTCTAGACGAACTAGAGTAAATCAGATTGTTTTTTTATGCAATTTTCCTCGTTCAAATGGATAACAGCGGTGTCCTGGTTTAACCGCGACAAATGAATGGATCTCTATAACTACGTCCTAAACCAGAAGGTCCATTTGTCGACTTTTCCGTGCCAAATTTCTATGAAGCACGTTTTTATTGGATCCATTGTTACAATTTTCCTGTTTTATTAGATTTGTCCGTCAGTGGTGCAGCAGGTTGTAGGGAAACGGCAGTCGTTCACCAATATCACTTGAATTCACTCCGGTGGTCTAATTACCAATTAACAGTGAGGTTTGGTATGCGACTTGAAGACTGTGGCTTTCTCCACAGATTTAGAGCAGATTTGTCACTCGGGTGTATCACATGCTTCTTTGGCAAAACACCTGGATACAGTACTTTTCGATTAGAGAATCATCGTATATAAACCTGGGTAAGGTTCACGATGACCCCTGTCCCAGCTGTCATTGGTTTTTATCCTGCAACACATACACGAGTTAGAGAGCCTGTCCGTTTAAACAAAGGCTTCTACTCGCCTAGTGTTCTATTTGAATCCGAAGCCGGTTTAATTTCACTCATGCGCGTGAAAATTTCACAACAGACTCTCCTTTCGCTTCTGTTCGACTGAAGCTATTCACCTGAAATGTTTGGTCTTCGTTTGTCGTTTATATGACCCCGCACAAATATATCTGACTTCGTTGGACATTTGATTATAAAGACAACAAGATGGTGGCATCGAGTTGCCTTCGGGTGGCAGACTATCTGTCTGCAGACGACATTGTACTGCTCAATGAAGATCCGGGTAAGTTGCAAGCTTTTCTGGATAGTTTGAATACTAGTTCGGTACGTGTTTTGCACCTTCAAAGTGTAAAATGTTGCTAAAGGACTGGATTGATGTAGCTCACTCACCTCACTCTAACTGGGGAAGTAATAGAGCAAGTTTTTTTTGGGGGGGGGAGGGAGACGGGGGCAGAGGTCTCTCACCCTGTGGATGCATTGCCGATGAAGCGTCAGCTCGCACACAGAAGGTGCGCTTGATCTTTGCCAACTTGAGACATCTGTGCCGCCACTGCAACATCCGACTGTTTGTGAAGGCTCGAGTGTATGTTACACCAGTTTGGTCAGTGCTACTTTACGGCGCAGAAATCCGGTCATGAAGAAAACAGGATAGAAACTGTCGGTGTTCGAACACTGATGTCTGCAACGGACTGCACGAATCTGGTGGGTCAACCAGACGAGCAATGCTGAGGTTAGGCGTAGAGTTTTAGGTAGCCGCTGTCCCCCACTGGAGCAAGTGTTCGACCTCCGTAGATTACTTTAGTTGGGACGTGTATTACGCATGTTGTCACATGGATTACCACGACACGTGGTTTGCCAGGTTAGGTAGGGGTGTGGAGAAAAGCCGAATGTGGTCCAACTAAAACCTGACCAGACGGAATGGAACCCTCATTATGAGACTCAGCCACATAGGTCCCTCGATGAGGAACTCGGGATCATTATAGTCAATGATTAGAGACACTGCGTGACATGACGGTAACGGTCGTGCAGCGTCTCCGTTTTTTTTACATCCCTGATCTACTGGAATTCTCCATTTTCTCTTCGAATTCACTGTCAACCTTAATATCTTTCTCTTAATCCTTCATTTAAATGGGAAACCAGAAGGAAGCAACCAAAGCCGGCCCAGTTCATCGTTAACGGTTTTTCAAACTGAAACAGTTAACTATCAGAAGACAGAATTCTATCTCCTACTTCTTTAGGAGCTGTTATACGTTTCAGCAAACGACGTGGAAGAAACTAGGCTCTCCAATACTCATAGCCACACTCATTTTAAAATCATCCGTCTGACCGTATTGCTCTCACCGATTGGTTATCGCTTCATCTGTAATCGAAAAATTGTTTAGTCAATCCATATGGGTTTTCATCTTTTCTTAATCTCACCCCAACACTGCTGCACTTGCTGACAACAAGCTGCTCTTTGGTTGCCATCCTTCATCCGGTCAGAATGCTTGAAAAGGTGTGAATGCCGAGTTATCTCTACACTCTATGCATCGATAAAAGAGGTTCACTTTCTTGGCCTCCCTCCAATGATGCTCAAACCCTGTCCGTCTTGTACTTTCTCACTTATTCAGTGTACATTAGGAGCTTAACAACGATCAGTGAAGTTCAGTCCTCTGTAAATCACTGTACGATGATGATGATGACACTTCCTCTCCGTTGGTAAACAACTTATTCATTCAGTTTTCGCAAACGCTGTTACCTTCGATTAGGATCCAGGTGTTGAAGGCCACTACTGTTACAGCACATTAAAATTGTCTCTTACTCTTTACTCCAGCTGGAATCCATCGGCCATTCTCCACCCGGTGATTACGGTCGTTATATTCCGTCGCACCCATCCGAACTTCAACGCCGCTCCAACGAGTATCGCACCGTTGGACCAGTTGCTCCAGGTATTGGGACAATCAATCAGCCTCCATTGCTTCCTCCGCACTTGCTACAGGTAAGCAGGTCCCGATTATCATCACACAAACCCATGAACTATCTTTTTGGGCTTACTGCTGATCTCTCAAATGCGAGGAACTGTCCTGTAACCTCCATAGATTATGTTGGTTGAGGGATGTGTTACGCATGTCACCAAATAAGTTGCCACGGCAAGCGATGTTTACCGAGGCAGGTAGCGGTTGGAAAAAGATCAGGGGTGGTCGAACGAAGACCTGGCGTGAGGATATGAGAACCCTAACTAGGATACTAGGTCACTTAAGATCCTTGATTGGGAACCCCGAGATGTTGGTCACCAATGGTTAGAGACCCTGAGTGATATAGCTGGGTGTCGCAAACAGTGGCGCTCGTGCATCCACACATTATTCTCTTAACAACATTATATGAATTCTCCATCTTCCGTTCGAATTTGCTCTCAACATCCCAATCTTCATCTTGCTCTTTTAACCAAATGGGCCGCCAAAAGACCGTAACCAAAACCGGCGCACAAAAGTGCTTGGTTAATGCTTTTGAAAACTGAACTGAACTAAACTGTAACCTCCAGAAAACTATCCTCTCGCTTTGAAGCTGCTCTCAGAGTGCAACAGCTAGTTAAGGAGTAGGCTTCAGAAAAGAATTAGCGTGGAAGCCAACCAGAGCCTCAAGCAGTATTTACTCAAATTTATTGTTGTCTTGTAGCTATGATCTCGAGCTCAATCCCTTCTAGTGCTACGAATGCATTTTCTCTCCATCACTCTTTGAGTTGTCTCGGTGGGGGGAACACTTTAGTCTTCTTCTCAATCGCCCTCAAATACAAATCCCATATGCGTCCCCCTCGCCATCTTCAGCATACGAAGAAAACTGCGCTCCGTCATCAGTAGAAGAGATTTCAGATGTCATCAACTATCTAAACCCACGGAAATCTGGCAAGGACGAGATACCTGCTGAAATCTACGCAAAGAGTTCTCCAACCATTTAAAACCCTCTTCATAGCTTGATGCGTACAACCCAGTTAACCGAAATTTGCCCAACTGACTGGATCACATCGATTTTAATACCTTTCCCTAAAAAGGGTGATAAATCAGTGTGCGAAAACTACAAAGGCATCAGCTTACTTGACGTGGCGTCTTAACCAGAAGGGATTCCGCCCCCTCCCCCCTCCTGTGGGTTGCGTTGGCCAAATATTCACTTTACGTCGACTTCTGGAACATTGCCACAAAATTCAACAACCCACAGCAGTCTGCTTCATTGATTTTCGTGCGGTATTCTACTCCGCAGATCGCGAATCCCTCTGGAACATAGTTCTGGCCAATGGTGTCTCAGTTAAACCTGTCAACTTAATGCGATCCTACTATTCCAAAACTCTAGCACCAGAATCCGCATCTACGACGAGGAGTCTTGCGCGTTTGAGGACCTGGAGTGCGACAGGGGTGCCCATTGTCCCCCATACTGTTCAACTTTGCCGTTGACTGGATAATGGGTCGTTCGATGGAAGGATACCAGGTTGTTCAGATCTCTCCGAACTTATGGCTCACTGACTAAGAATCGCTGATCAGCCGACAGGCCTCGGAGATCGGCTTAGTGGTGAACACATCAAAAACCAAAACCTTTCCGACAGTTCCGATTCATCGCAAAAAATGCTTTACTAATAAACGACGAGCCGACTGAATCCGTCAAAAGCTTTAACTACTTGGGTTCAACCGTATTCCCCATTGGACAAGTTTAAGACGAGTGCGCGTCGATGCTACGAGAAAAGCGTTCCTACAGCTAAAGAATGCCCTTTGGCGTAGAAATGAAATCAGACAAAAATCTGATTTTTCTCGTCAGCAGTCCATTTTGTCTTGCTATACGGATGTGAAACCTGGCCAGTTCAGTTCAGTCCTTACAACCAATAACCATGCTCTTTCGTCGAAGACTGCCGACTATTAGAAGTCTTTGATCACTGGTGCTTATGAATCATTCCGGGAGTACGATGGAGGAATCAGCTCAAACGAGGCGTTCAGAAATCCGTGTTTTAATCTCATATGGCTGCGGACGCTAATACAAACGCGGCGACTACAATGGTTTGGTCACATACTTCTTAAGTCTGATAACGACCTGACTAAAGCTGCCTTGGTACCGCCTCCCTGCCTGAACTGGCCCTGTCGATATGGTGGGTAGCTAAAAAAACTGGCTTGATACGGTACGAAAGGATACAGAGAACCTTGGTCTCCGCTTCGTCTGCGGCATTTACCAATGGAAATCAAGCTGAATCACAATCTGCGCTGACCTTGCCGCAGACCGTCGAGTGTAGGCAGCGGCAATTCGGGATATCCATGAAGCCGGCTTTTCTTCTCCCAGGAGCCGTGCGAGAGCAGAGCTGTATGCTACCGGGCGCGTCCCCAGGTCGCGGATAGGGGAACGGCCGTCATTTCACGGCTAACCGTGAATAAGGTGGGCCACGACTCTCCAAATAAGCGGTCGTGGACGATCAGCGGCAGCGCTCGAGGATGTGGTGGGTCTACCCCTGACAAGGGTTCTCCGTACAAAACGCCACATATATCTGCGGACAGCGCTGTGACATGGCGAGTGTGGCCCGCCACTAAATAGGGTCATTGCTCCTTGTTAAGATCCGTTGCTCAACAAGGCTTTCCAGAAGAGGCGAATAAACCAAAAACTGGCCACCGGCTCATCTGGAATATCGCTGCTGCCTTGCAGTCCGCGCTTGGTTGCGCAAAGGCTAGAGTGCACCCTCGAACAANGCCATTTCTCAGTGGGGTCTGTTACTACTGAACAGGAAAACTGCATCCACATGGAATGAATTCCTGTTTATACGAAATATTTTGGGAGATATTAATTTGTTCATTTAAATTCACGTATCATGCCGGGTCCGCGTGTCACTCATCCCTGGAAACCTTGAAATCATTGTTCATCTAGCAAGCTCGGGAGAGCAGATCTGTATGCTACCCGAGCGCGTCCCCAGGTCGCGGATAAGGGAACGGCTGTCATCTCACGGTTAACCGTGAATAAGGTGGGCCTTGACCCTCCGAACGGACGATCAGCGGCAGCGCTCGAGGATGTGGTGGGTTTACTTCTTGGCAAGAGTACTCCGCACAAAACACCACACATTTCTGTCGACAGCACTGTGACGTGGCGAGTGTGGTCCGCCACCTAATATGTCTATCGACCCTTGTCGAAATCTATTGTTCGGCAAGGTTCCAGAAGAGGCGAATGAACCAAAACTGGCCACCGGCTCATCTGGAATATCGCTGCTGCCTTGCAGTCCGCGCTTGGTTGCGCAAATGCTAGAGTGCACCCTCGAACAAGNCCGAGTAGTACAACAACCCACAACGCCAACAACGATGATCTCTTCGACTTCTACGCGCATCCAGTTTACTTTTTCTTCAACTAAAGCCAAACACTCTACACCGTATACACACTCGCGTCCTCGCAGCCCTCCCCCATCACACATCCGCCCCCGTCACCCACCCGTTTTCTCGGGATCCTCAGATGGTCGTGCAAACACTAGTGCCTCAGATGGAAACTCTGCCGCTGTTCCCTCATGTCCTACCTCGACCACTGTCCAAGTCTTACGAATTCCTCCACCAGCTGAAGCCCTTCTTCGCCCTCGATGTACTTTCAAACTAGCCACATTCAATGTGTGCACTCTGATGCGTATAGGACAACACGCTGGTTTAGCTCCTACGCTCGAGACCCTAGCCATCGATATGTGTTGTATCCCAGAGACTCGTG